GAAGCTAGGTCTCATTCTAGGATAAATTTGTTCATAAGCCGTATTTATAAACTATCACGGTTCATGAGATGCAGCCTCGTAAAAGACTGACAGAGACAAACGGACAGCGGACGTCTTAGTAGTAGGGTTCCGTTTTAAGCTTTGGGTACGGAACCCTGAAAATAACCTAATCATTGTGTTCTTAATAGAAAAATAAGAAAAGATGGAACTGAATTCGCTACTTCTATTAATTTTGCCATTTAATAAACTTCCAAATTTTGCTGTAATTCCAAATTACCCAATAAGCACGTAACAAATTGCACGTCGGTGTCTAATCGAAGTCGGCACTTTTTGTCTGTACGTCTCCTTGTTGATCGACCTTGAATTCGAATCTATCACAATTGCCACAGACTTCGCTGACGTTCTAATTTTTACTATGCATGTACAAGTATGGGTGTTATATAAAGGTTTCTGGCATACTATTCCTTATCTGGTGAAGTAGGTTTGAAAGTATATATTATATAGTCAATACTTCGAAACCCGTTGCCTTGTTATATATAATAATTTGATACGTATATTGCCAAGCACTTTAAAAGAATTTTTTAGCCGCCAAAAGGGTAGTTTTGTGGTATAACAAAAGAGAAACCGTCAGCTGAATACCATTTGAACGTTCAGAAACTGATTGTTGCTTCAAATATTAATTAAATACACCGATTCGTTTATTAACAGATTTTTGATTGTAGTTTGACAATGTAATGGTTAATTCTGGGCTACGAGTGACCAAACATGAAAATACACAAGGGACGGATGTGGATCGTATAGACACTTTTCATCCTCTCTCTTGATTCCATAATATAACCTTGTATTGGTGTTTCTTTGTAATAGCATATGTATTTATTATTAAAACATCCGATAAGCTACGGGTTATTAATTAAAACGGTGATAATGATGTTATCCACAGTAAATTACATTTTTTTATCAAACTTTATATATAGCTGCCATTGTTTACTAAAAAATATGAGATCGGTGTATATTATGAATTTGTTCTGTGGCAAGCGATGTACGGAAGATTTCTCAAAGTAAAGTAACATCCAATAAATATAGCTCTCACTGCTGGGAAAAGGCTCTTTACACTGGGTAAGCAGACCGCCTTCTTTTTTGTAAATATTTCTTCAACAAGTAAACTTGTTTTGGGTTAGACATTTTTCCAAGTATCCTTATCCTTCCCTATTCTATGTCCTTTCTCAGGCTCTAGACTATCTGTGTACCGAATTTCATTTAAATCGGTTCAGTAGTTCTGGCGTGAAAGCGAGACAAACAGACAGAGTTACTTTCGTATTTATAATATTGCTACGGAAGTACAGATATGGTGGCTTAGCTCTTCAGGTAATGGACCAGCGATTCTTTACTGATTCTGATCATTCGGGTCCCAATGACGTGGGCCGAGTCACAGGATAATGAGTTTTCCATTAGAAATCACAGACAAAGTTATATATGTAACAATAATTTGTGTACCTAGCATACATACATAGCATATATAGTGTTAATCTGGCTAAGGCAAAAGATCAGAGTTGGTATACCCTCGGAGTTACATCTTTGAGTCCTGGACCATTTTGTCTAGATAGTTGTTGTTTTTATTTCTTTCACTTTTTAGGGTTTCGTACCCAAAGGGTAAAACGGGACCTTATTACTAAGACCACGCTGTGTGTCTGTCTGTCCGTGTGTCACCAGGGTGTATCTCATGAACCGTGTTAAGATTAGTTTTGTGTATAGTTTGTGATTTGCTTGCAAGCGCGGATTATGTTTTTATAAATATTTTTAACCTGTTCATGATTTGGCTTAGCACTCCGCTGTTAGTTCATTAGGAATAACACAAGTAACCGGTTTTGAACCACCCGCTCAGAGGCGCTCTCGTGGAACCACGAAAAAAGGTCTGCGGTTTTTGCCTCCGAATTCTTCAGACATCGCTTGTTGTCGATATAAATATAGGAGTATATATAGTTATAAATAATATGTTGCGTTATCCAGTCGTAAGTCTGGAATACACCCTTTTATTTCTTGTTATGAAAACACGCCTTGTCACATTGCGCGCCATTTATCGCGGTTAAATAAAAAAAGAAAACTATTTTGCCAGCTTTGACACCGAGGTCCCAAATTTTGTTTTTAGATTGTTATGCATAACCTGTGAACGGCGATATTGGTGACCTTACAATGTCTATTGTGTACAAACGTCACAGTGGGACACAATTTATTTAAACTGTTCGTCTGTTCTTTTACGCAACAGTAGAAGGCTCATCGGCTTGCGTAAAATAAGAAATGTGGTAAACTTCTTATATTTTCAACGATTCAATCTGTCGAACCCCCAGTTTTTACTAGTTACTTTAAAAGTGATAAAGATGGTTTATGTTTTTTTATGTGAAAATTGGGCAAACTAACTACGAAAGGCGATATACACGATGTTAAGTGATTAGCTCCGTCCATGGACTTATGCAACAACGGAATAATTGCATAGGCGACCTGATTACCTCACTGACCAAACGAATTTATTAAATTAATACATTAATTTCCGATAGTTAAACTAATTATTTTTAACGTGTCCTTAAATAACATTTTTTGTACAGTGAGCCGATGATATTATATTATACAAATACGAGGTAGAGATGACTAGTGCACCAAAACTGAGGCACTCAAATTACACTAATTGGTGTAATTAGCTATCTCTTGAATGCTATCTCTTTCCGTATCATACGTTCTATATCATCTGTCACATTCACTTCTATATGTCATATAATGTAAAGCGGAATAATAAAACGCCAGGCGTCATCTATATTAAACATCATTGCAGCGAGCGAAAAATTCGAAATTTCGAATAGTCTCAGAATATCTCACGACGAACGTAAGATGTAAACGACGCGTTGTAAACTTATGTTGTATACTGTACAATCACGCCACTGTGACGTCATCCAGCTCAGGTCTTAAGTTATTATGCAAGCGTAGTACCCTTATACAGTATAATTTGTACATGTGGGTGTATTTTGTTTCCGACATAAATTACAATATCATATTACACACTCTATTGCACACTAATTATGTCAAAGGTGGAAACGATACCATCTTCGTGGACGTAGAAACAGTGATTTTGAAATAGTCTCCGTCACCAATTATGAACATTTGTCTTAAGATCCACTTTCCGTCCCGATTTCAAGTCTTCGCATTAGCATAGAAACCTCTTAGTCTCGCGTCCGACCCACTTGCATCTTCGTACGCAATTAATGTGTGTTTTATAGCGCGTCGCGACTAGGGTTACCATCCGATAGGCATTTCTCTCATTTGACAGGCATTTGGACGTCCAGACAGGGGTGAGGCCGGCGCCGATCAGAGACAGGCGTTTTAAAATTTCGCGCCCTTTTGTCGCGTTTCGAACATTAGTTTTAATTTTGTAACAAACCGCAGCTTTTTTTTTTAAATTTTTGACAGGCATTTTTCTGAAAAATCTGGCATTCTTGGCATCTAAGACAGGGAATCTTCACTTATTCATGGTAACCCTAGTCGCGACATTCTTACGTATTCGACCTTTGGCCTTAATCGATGGCGCGATCCATCGGGGTTTCCAATGACCACTTCGCTCCAGCAAAGGTTTTGTATAATAAAGCTGGCTCTGCATTTGCGTGCCAGTTATAAAACAGTTTTACTATATCATATTCTCTCCAACAGACTTGAAAAAGGAGGAGTTATATGTTTTTTTTTGTGTTTGTTTCCTCATATCTCCGTCATTTATGATCCGATTTTAAAAATTATTTTTGAATTTGATTTGGTTCAGATCATATGCGGTCGTCATCAATCAGGTCAGTATCAATTTAATTGATTGGACCTTGTACTCCGGAGACAATAAAATACATCGGGGTAGTCCTCAAAATCAATACAGAAAACGTATTTTGTAATAAACCTTTTATTTTATTTATTTTTATTTTATTTATTTAACTTTATATATTTTAGTAAAACTTTCAGCTATAACAGTTAATGTGTGATCAAATTTAACAAAATTATTGCCAACTAAAAGTTTTCAACATTAGAAAATCATCTCCTTGGATCGGTTTCGATTAGTTAGCCCGTGGTCAGTTTTAAAATTTAGCTTAGCGAGAAATGATTGTAAGGAATATATATTTGTAGATTCCCCAAGATTATATGATTATGATAGATTTTTGGTCCTGCTTTTATTCCACCCAAGTGGGGTCGGCAAAACGTGTGAAGCGTGTGGTTAACAGGATTTGCTAGATGTTTTTAACTTGTCACCTGCCTTACTTCAACCCTCCTTGGGACATTTATCCGTAGCCCACACAAATACGGCGCCCAAACCGATATATTTGCAGCTACACCGAGTATATCTTATATACATTTTTATACGAATTACAGGCAACTTGACCCGAATTATTGATCGAATTCATGTTCTTTTATAAACACTGGTCTTATGTACTATATGTACCTATGTTATGGTCGTAAAAGAATCAGGGATTGGCAAAAAATGCAAGCGATTCTCCTCCTGGTAAGTGGTCACCGCCTAACCTTGACATTGGCAACAATCAGAAGAATATTATGCGGTTGACAGCCGTGCTAACTCACCGGTAGACATGAAAGAAATCATAATTATTTCGATGCCACGCTACCAGGCCAGTGGCCTCATTTATGCACTAACGTTGCAGAAGCTGCCGCATACTTTGAATATATTGAACTAAATTACTACTTCTTTTGTTTCTCATTCGACATTATACATTTCGTTCGTAAAATACACTTGTCCAGCTATAATTTAATTCCAGTACTTCATCGCAATGTAACTGGTCACTGGGCGGATCCGTCCGGGTAAGTACCACGACGACCGAAGACCGGCGTCAAGTGGAAGTATAATACTTTCACGTTTCGTCTGGTGAGTGAGGTAGCCGGAGCCCAATTTCCAAAAGGTTGCCAACGCATCTGCAAAGATATAAAAAGACAAAGACAGAGTAACAGCGACAGTTGTCCCGCAGGTAAATACGAGACGTTGCTTGACGACTCTCTGCTCGCGCTGAACACGATAAACGCGTCCCACATACAGTTCCCGAGGCTCGCCCGCACTTCGGGCACCGCCGAGAAACTCCACAGGTACTTCTCGCAGCTGGACCTGCCGCTGATACGTCGCCTCTACAAAGTGTACAAGTACGACTACAGAATGTTCAACTACGACCTGGACAACATTGTCGGCTACGACCTCGGATAGGCGTAGTTCTGGAAGAGGTTAATTCCACTATCGCGCACAAAACTGCACTTCTGATAGTGTCCCAAATATTATAGGTGCCGTAGGGGCCGCGGGGTGCGGGGGGAGGGGAGAGTATTAGCTTTCGCTCGGGCTTAATTCCAAATTGCTTTTATCTCGCTCTAACTACACGTCGGTGTACAGTCGCGAACAACGCTATTAGTAAAGTTAGCATTTTAGTTCGTAGTTTTATTTTCAAGTCGAATAGTCCGAAGTTTGGCGACAATTTCATGTTCCCAATTCGAATATTGTGCTCTCTATTTTTACTAGTAATAAGATTTCTACCGTCTCTAACTAATTTCCTTCATTCGTTTCTTTTTCGCGCGTTTTCTTCGTTTTTTTTTTTTCATTGACCCCATCCTCTCCTTGATCATTTAATTTAATGAAAAAGACATTAGTATAGCTGAAATGTTTGCGTATTAATTATGTGTGTTTGATTGTACTACCAGTAGCCCAATTGTGTGTCTTTATACATTTTTGTATATCTTTATATTATGCAACTTGATTGTACAATGTTATCTGTTGTTTTGAACGTAGAATTTAAATGTTTACATTTTATGTAATAAATTATATTGTGGGAATGCATGTGATCACTGTATTTAATAAAAGGAAACCATCATTAGTACAATATTAAAATGAAGCAACTCTTATCTTTGTTTTATTTATACCTTTATCAAACTATTATCTCTATATAAAAAAAATGAATCGCTGAATGTGTTGCTCTGCGCAAATCTCGAGAACAGCTGAACCGATTTCGCTAATTCCTTTTTTATAATATTCCTTGAAGTACAAGGATGGTTTCTACGGAGAGAAAAATTTTAAAAATTGCCTGAAAAATTCTAAAAGAACACTTTTCTATATTCCCATACAAAAGATAATAATACTAATAATAATACGTAATAATACTTAATTCAATTTGAACTTTAATACAATACCATAAAGTTTAAGTATTAATGGAGGGTTTCCGGGAAGGTCAATGTTCCAATTCTGTGACGTTAGTATCTTATAAATATTAATGTCAATATTTGCCATTTTGTAATAATATTTTTACTAGGTAGAGTTATTCAAGAGGAAGGTTTATATGTATAATACATTGCACCCGTGCGAAGCCGGGGCGGGTCGCTAGTTCCATTAATAAACTGAATTATTGTGTTAACTAAATGTCGTGGTAAATTATATTCTCAAAGCTACTCCACATTTCGTGTATAAATTGACCATTAAACCATTTTCAGAAATCTAAACAGACGTGTTTTGGATTCAGATTAAAGGAATAATTTATATATATCTATAACAAATTAATGGTTACATTTTTTTGGTGATTGGTTTTTTTGTGAGTATGCGACACATCCGACGTAAGTGAATACCGTCGATACAAGAATACAGCTGGACCATACCAGAGAGGTTGTTGTTGAGAAGATCCCACTCTTTCTTTGCAGCATTGTCTGCTTTGAAGGTAAGAATAAGCAGTCCTTGCAGGGTGCAAGAGGGTGAGGGAATCGGAGAAGGCTTATCCTTCTCCGAGGCGTGCTCACGCGTAGTACCAAGGGACACCCGGTGCGTTTCATGTAGTGACAGGGTATCTTTCACAGATCCCCCCCCCCCCCCCCCCCCCCCCCCCGATACCAAAAAAAAAAGAGATTGCTGAAGCATGGTTGTAGGCTCCTTTACTCACTAGGCAAAATGTAACCGTATAAGTACTTCTACTACACTACGGCAATATTCATGAAGCGATATTTCAATCAGAATTCTGATCAAAATTAAAGTAAATGACGTAAGAAAATAATAAACATAATGGTATAAAAATAACTCACATCGATTATAGTCCAATATGGCGGTTAGAATGCTGATTGCGCTATTATTTGCTCGCTAAAACCACGTACAACAATAGGCAGGCAATCGTTACGTGAGAAGGTGGCAAGTGAGTTTGCGGTTCACCTGGTGGTAAGTGATCGCCGCCGGCCATGGATATTTGCAACACCCTTAGAGTTGCAGCTTTTAATTAAGTGGACCTTGACACACCAGACGAAACGCAGAAGTATAACACTTCCACTTCACGCCGGTCTTCTGCGAGGTCGCATCACTTACCGCCGATATGAGTATTCTTCATATTATATAATGCATTAAATTTTTGGAGGTTAGTGTTGCTTTGCTGTAGGAACGCTTTTGTTAGTTGTTCTCGATTGAAAAGAAAACAAGTATAATTTTTAACAAAAAAAAAACCCGACTTCAATCAGAAAATTAAAAACATTGTTAATACTATAACATACAATGATGGTCCTGAATTTCTCTGCGATTCCATCATCAGATCCGGGTTTCCTTATTATAGTACCACCCTTGGGATATCTCCGATAAAAAAAGAAGCATCAAAATCGGTTCATATACGAGAAAGTTATCTGCGAACACCCATAAAAATATATACGGTCCAATTGAGAAATATCCTCCTTTTTTGAAGACGGTTAAAAACAAAACATGACGTACAAACCGCGATGGGTTACGCCTATACGTGCTGTTCATTAGTTCAGAAAATGAACATAAAACCTAGATTTTCATATGTATTTTTGATATTAATCAGAGCTGTTTTTGTACTACAAATTCTAAAATAGATTTCGAGTTGGTTGTTTCTAATGTTGAGGGGATATCGTAAATGTTTTGGTTGAACACTACATTGTTAGATGTAACAATGCACTTCGAAATTATTTACACGTGTTATTTTGATGATTGTTTAACGTATACCGTATACAGAGCAATTAGTGCATAAATTAAGATATAGGTAGTAATTTTATTTTTGAAGTTATACTTCTTCTGTTTCAAATAATTATAAGGATAAAATTAAGATGCTCGTGTTAGATTTGTGATCTCATTAAGATAAACATTTCTTCAAATGATGATTATAAATAGTAGTAGACTTATAATTGCCGGGATACCTAATTATTTGTAATGTTTAAGTAATGTTAGAGTTAATAGGCTGAATAAAGATAAAAACCTAGCATAAATAATTATATTAAGCTTCTTTATAATTAGAAAGATTTAATTTCCAATTATTTTATCCAATTATTTTAACTCCTTAATGATATTAGGATTAATAAGCCAATAATAAAAGATTCAATACGTAACATAATTATTTAAAACTTCTAATTGAAAGTCAAATACTACCACCGGTTCACTAACTAGACCTGTCCAGAGAAAAACCGGCAAGAAACTGCGGCCTCTATTTTTTCTCTTTCTTTAATTACACAAGTAAAATTATTCAACATACAGCAATAATTTGTAGACAAACTACTATAATAACAATAAGTTACAAACTGTATAATTAATACTCAGAAATATAAAGTACCTTAGACGTTAACACTTTTAAGTTATAAACAGCTTAATTAATACTCAGAAATATATCGTACCTTAGACGTTAACACCTTGCTCGTCGAGAAGCAACGGAGGAACTCCTCCGTCGAGTGACAACTGAATAACTCTCCTACTTTGCTTCTCTCCCTTTTATAACTACTCACAACATCAAATGAGCCGAAACTTCTAACGACTTTTTAAAATTATTTTCAATCAAATTAAGAACTATTTATAAATTCAATTACAAAATGATATTTAAAACACAATTGAGTAAACATTTTTATACATTATTGTTTTTATATTTAGTAATGTTTTAGAGCAATGTTTCATTTTTATGCTAAGCAATGTTATAGGAAAAAAAACTCGCTCTACTGAAAAAAACAGCGTCTGATCGACGAATGGATAAGATTTCCGAGGCAAAAAATAAACACATTAGATACGCCTCGTAATTATCTCAATGTGATTATTAGGGTTTTTTAGAAAACTCTGTTTTTAGTATTTACAGACTTTTTTTCGTTTCATTTCAGAAAAAGACTGAGCAAAGCTCGGTCCTCCACGTACTGGTTTATATGTATAATACATATAAACCTTCCTCGTGAATCACTCAAATCGATCTATCTAATAAAAAACGGCATCAAGATCTGTTGAGTAGTTTTAAAGATCTATGCATAGGAGTCTTGTACATAGGGACAGACAGACAGCGGGACGATTTTGTTTTATACTACGTAGTGATTATTAAAAGCCATATTATCACTTACAACGTTCTAAAGGGTAATTCGACATCGCTTTAGTTCGTCGTGCTACGTAAATAATGATAGAACTAGGGCCACTTCAGCTACGCTTAAACGCCAGTCAGTTTTTTGTTGATAGACCGGCGAAATACTGGCCCTCGCAGAAGCCCGATCCGATGGAATGTAGAAGAAATAAATATTTTCACATAACGTTATCTAATCCTAAACTAAGCGTGTATGGATGCTCGGTATCTCATAAATATTCTTAAACGTACTTTGCTTTTGTAAATAGATAAACATTAAACTTGTATAAACACACAGATACTGTAAAAAAAAACTATCTTCATCACACAATATTCTTCTAGTAGTGTGAATCGAACCTACTGACCCGAGAGACAGATCCACCATTCACTACTCCGATTTTGCATTTCGTCTATTGAGTAGTAATTTGTTAATTTTTATGTTGGTAAAATACCTGATTAGATTTTTTACTTATAATTGTTTTGTCACTTCTTAAAGCGTATACATTATTTCAATTATAATCGATAGTTTATTATCAGTATTGCTTTTTGCTTGTGTGTCGGAAACACCAGTACCGTTGTTTGTGGCTGATAATGACCGTTGATAGTGATATCCCTGAACTTTGCCTTTATGCGCTTTAAAATTGATAAATGGTACAGCGATGCATACCATACATTGAAACAAAATTTTCAAGTTTGGTTTAGGTTAGTGCTGAAAGTATCAGACATACATAAACACTCGGGCGTATTACCACTTCCCACGATATTTGCACAAGTGTTACGAGTATTTATACGTCAATTTGGTGTATAATGGTGCAGATTATCGTTTTGACGAACAACTTTTGAAAGCCTAAGTAGAATTCACCTAATG